ATACAACCATGACATTATCGGATGAAGACCTCATAGCGCTAGCGTCCGGTACTCTCAATCCTCAAACCGCATTCTTAAAGGGCAAACTGAAAATAGCTGGCAACTTAATGCTCGCTCAGAAACTTGGTCCCCTTTTAAAATCTGGCTCTAAACTATAAAATCTACAAGGGCTATGTTCATATATTTGCATTCAACACACAATAGGTTTAAGGTAAATATATAGTTTGATCAGGAATATAAGAAATATTTGCAGACAAATAAAGAACTAATTCCTTATTGTATACTACAAAGTGTTGTAATTAAGAAATTAATAAAGGCGCTCCCAGGTTGGGATTTTTATATTCTTGTTTATGCTATACTTGTGGTTATTATTTATAATGGTGTGGTATCACTAAAACATCATAGTTCAGTCCAAATTGCATTAAGTGTATTAAAAAGTGTTACTAATTGTTATCTAAATAAATCAATTGTAATGTTTTTAATGATTCCTTTAAGCGACAATTTTGTGAGTTTATAATTTGCCTAATTTGATTATAAAGTGATGTTTGCAATTGGGTGGTGACAATATATACAAAACAATCTTGACATTCTGTTGATATTAAATAAAATGAATCCTAAAATTACATTGTATTGATAAGTATTGTAATTTTTCTTGAAATTTGCATTTATATTAATAAAATTGTTATTTATGTTGGTAATATATTGTTTTTTTAATTTTCGTTTCAGCATATCATTGTTATGAAAATTTTTGATTTATAACATTCTTTATATTAAGAGAAAATTATTCCTAGATTTTTAAATGATGAATTGAAATGCATGTACTTGTTACAATGAGTTTGTACTGCTAAAACATTCAGAAAAACATGTGATAAAAATATATCCCACTTTAGATTTTTTTTTGATTTGACAGAAACAGATTATGAATGTCTTTGTAGTTCAAACTCAAAGTTACAAAAAATATTTTATACCGTTCATTCCATATTAAATTTGTAGAGGTTGGGGATAAATAGTTTGTTTTATAATAATGTTGTTTTATTTAATTTATTCTTCTTCCCTCTCCTTATCCTTAAGATGTTTCCCATTGGGCCGCCTGATCAGCCCAATGGATACTTTTTTTACCATAGGGTCAATTGCCAATTAGGACCATCTTAAAACACCTCATAAACTTAATCTATCATATCAAAATATTGTTTTATTTGATTATAGGTAATATTTTTCCTTGTAATAATAATTGTGCTTCCTTCACTTCAGTCTCCCAAGACATTTTCATCGGAGGCTGCATACTTAGGTCTATAAATTTAGTTGCCTGAACTTCAGGAATTTCTTTAGTGTTTACTGCCACACCTATTATACAACAATATGTTCCTGTAGATATAATGTGACTATAAGTATGAATAAATTTAAAAAATTACTATGGAATCTTTCCATAATGTAATTTTGTACCATATTTACTACATTATTGACTGGCAATGACTATAATGTTAGTTGAACTATCTTACAATTGTTCAATTATGCTACAAATACTAAGAACATATTTGTAACATGCCAGCAAGCAGCTTATGTGTTTTTATAAGAGTAGGAACAAAGATCGGCGAGAACACAGGTTCTTTGATGCCGATGGACATCCATAAAATACAGCGTTGCCGTTTTTAAAGAAAATATTATAAATAAAGTGCTACTTTTTACTTAACTTTGCATAAACTCTTTGTATCCACGGCTCCATCAGCTGATTCACATTTTGTTATTTTGACTTTCCCAAAGTTATCTGAGATTATTAGTATATCATTTCCAATGGTTTCTTCGATAGTTCCTTGTAGCCACACGTCAAGCGGTATTGGTTTATTAATTAAGTCTTTACTAAAATATTTTGTGGGATTTACAGCCATAATATTGAAATTTACAAATATCTACAATCTATAAATGTAGTAATAAATCCCAAACTTTTGACACAAAGATTGGAGGGAGGAAACAGGAAGTGGAACCAGTAATAACAGTTTCGTTCGCAAACCTTTTCTTTGATCTGACATTTGTTGTCGGCAAAATTAAATGTGAGTGAAATTAAACATAAAAGTTTAGTTTCTTTTGGTTTTAATAAAGTTCAATTCATGTTTAAGACTTTTACGCTAATATACACTACATTGTATTATTTTTACAGTTCGAAGTGGTAAAGTACGCAAACGAGGATTTATTTTGTTCTGTACTTTTGACAGTTCAAGGTCATTATAAATCCGCAAAGGTCATATGGCACCCCGCAATTTTGTGAACCTACATTGTAGGTCCTACAATGTCTGTTGAATACCAGAGTAATACGTATTATCTACGCCATGGTTTGAGATAATTTATAAGTTAAGATAAAAGTACTTTCTTTGAAATTTGGGGAGAATTGAACTTTGAAGGATTGAACTTGCTTAATCTTATAAAACTCATAAGTTTTTCTGTCTTTACGACTACGCATTTTGATTGTAAGATAGTTACAGAACTAGTGAAATACTCAAAAACATCGCTTGTATTATTAAAATTTACTTGTTTCGAAATCCAAATTCCTTTTTAAAATTGAAAATACCGCAGTTATTATTTCAACGGTATATAATTTTGGTAACGTAATAATGTATAATGTCATAAAACACCGCCAGCCGGCCGTGAGCGGTTGCCGAGAGCGAGAGCATGAAATCACTACGGCTCCCGCGTAACAACTCAATCAACGCAACTTTTAGATAAAGTTTTTTTATTGTACAATAGGTACTTAAAGCCCGGCCGCGCTCCACAAAAAATATACGTCGGACTCGAGATCTACATAATTATGTTCTCAGAATTTGTTATAGAAAAGATAATGTCTATATCTATCTATACTAGTCATTTTGAATGTATATGTAATACAAAAAACTTAAAAAAATACAAAAACTATGTTTACGCTTTATTATAATAGAAGTATAGATTTGACATATTTTAATGCTTAGTATTTATTAGGTCTGATACAGGAGTAACATTGGATCCATTTTATTCATTTCACGCAGACGAAGTCCGAGCAACAGCTAGATATAAAAAACCATCGATATTAAGAGCATTGCCACAAACAATTTTATTAATGCATAGTAAAATATGTAATAGAAGATGATCACAATATACTTTCCATAATGCAAGGTTAGATTTCTCTCGCGCTCTCTCAAAGTATTATTACATTGCAGTTATTTCAGAGAAAACAAACTTTACACTATCATGTATCTCTATATAGTTGTCTCTACAAACAGTGATTTTGTAATTCCGTACTTGATAAGGATTTTGAAAAAGTTTGTTTTTATTTTAATCGTAATGTAGTAATTTATTTTGATTTAGATCTCTCGTCCCGAGAACAATCTCCATTCGGTGCGTCCGGACTCCGGACCGGTTGTTGAACGCTAAAACAAAAACAAAATCACCGACAAGTCTATTACGCGGGGCTCTGATTATGCCAGACTCCACATTGCATCGGTTGGGCGTACGGTCGGCAAGAAAAGAAGACATCCGAGCTGTCATCTCGACGAGGGAAGTAGTGTGTGTATTGTGTTGCACACCGTACACACTACACAACTCAATTTTACTCAATCGTAAGCGCGCGCGCGGCTGAAACGCACGTCTTTTATGCGTTTCTCTGTTCCGTAATAACGAGGCAAAATTCAAAACAAAACTAGTGTATACTGTAAACAAAACTTGTTGAATACTTTTGTATCGTGATGGTTATTTTATTACATTGATACAGTGATGACTTAGTGTGTTTTATAAGAACTTGTTAATACAAAAAATAACTTTCCAATGAACACAACAAGCCATGTGACCACAGAGAGAGCGGACCAGTAAAAGTACGTAGATTTATCTTATTTTTAACTTAATATTAACTAATATCTGTAAAGTTGATTTAAGTAAGTTACATTAGTGGTAACTTAACTTTGTTACGTTGCATTAAAAACGCGGTTTTCGTGTTATAGAAGGCAACTTTAAACTAATTAGTACTAAGTTTAAAGTTTACTGGAATCGATAATATTTAAGTCAAACTTTTAAAACACTTATAAACTGTTTCGACTGTAATAACAGTGAACGAAGAATAGCTGAATTAACTTAACCGTGGGTTTTTACTGTATACAAATACAATTTCATCTCTCTCATTTCGTTGAAAATAAAGTAAAACATTGTTAACTAAACTTTACAGTAGTGCTTCTAGTGGATAATCTAAGAACATAAGATTGATCTAGTCAGACTGATGCAGTCGACTGAGTAGAGAAAACTACGTAGGTTTTTTTCTAAGCAGTCGACTAGCTTTTAATAGTTGACTGACTTGAAAAACATGAATTGATAAAGAATAAAATTTAAATTAAAAAAGTGTAAACCGTTTATTAATAAAACAAGATTTTTTACAAGTAAATCTTATTTAGAGTAACCGAGAATCGGCTTTTTCAAATCTAATTAGCTTTAGATGTATTTAAAAAAGCAAAACACAAAAAAGTAATACTTCAGTTGAAATCATAGGCGTCACTGGGAGGCTACCCTCCCAGAGAAGGGCAACTGTTTCTCTAGATATCGACAAATTAAAAACACATATAAAACCTACTTCGAATAAAATGAATAGCTGCCCCCATCCCTAGACGTCGTCTATAGCTGACATTTTAATTACTGTTACGTTACTTTTCATATAGTTTTCTTCTAGACTGCATAAATTCGTTATTGCAATGTTGCGAATTATTCATAGGATCGTGCATAGAAATTGTTACATTGATTAAGACGGTAATACAGTATTGTGTACGCTTTAACGTGTCCTTAACTGTTGCGAAGACGTGCTTAGAAATAATGAGACTGGCTGTTAACTGTCTGACGTAAATATATCGCCGGCCATTATACTTGAGACGTTAAATGCATCTTAAGATTACGATCGCTTACTTCCACTACTAATGAATATTTCTTTCGTGACATGTAAAGTACAACTTTGTGTTTCGACGTACGCAGAACTGGTTACAATGCAAGAATAATTTTAACAACCACTTAGGTTATCTCTAATATATCTTAGTAACAAAAAGGTTGTAAAAGTGTTTCGCGGTTAAAACAGTTTTGAGGTTTGAGCAGTAGTATTATTATTTTTCAAAGAAAGACTGGATGTTTTGATATAAAAGGAGACTACATGTGGCAGAAATGAGAATGTTAAGATGGATGTGTGGGGTAACACGAATGGGTAAGATACGAAATGAGTATATTAGAGGATGTTTTAGAGTTTCCCAGTGGTAAAGAAGGTAAGGAGTAAAATGTTAGTATGGTATGGGCATGTTACAAGGAGAACGTTAGTTATGAGTGTCGAAGAGTACATCGGTAGAGATAGACCTACAAAGAGATGGATGGATTGCGTGAAAGGTGACATGATCAAAAAGGGAGTGACGACTGAGATGACGTAAGATAGAGTTATGTGGAGGACCAACAAGCCGACCCTACGGAAGTAGGATAAGGAGGATGCTGATGTTGATGAGACTGGATGTTTTGGTGATGTTTGTCGCATGTATATTTGCAACGACCTATAGATCCTTGCACGTAATATCTATAAACTGTAGTCATAGACGACAAATGATTAATTACATCACGCCGCCCATAGTAATGTTGTTATTCTCACTTTGTAACCACTTCTAGTGACGTAGAAACCATAGTTGCAGACGGTTATAGAATAACAAATCAGATACAGATAGATAAATTACGTCAGATTCTATTTGCAAGAGTAACGTTTGAAATTATTTTAAAATTGTACTCACGATGATATAAAATACTCGTTTCTTGTACTTATTAGTCTCAATAGTGGTCTCATTCAAATAGGATTTCTCAATGAATTATAAAGACAAGAAAACAGTCTATTCCTCCCGTAAAGGAAAGCAAAACATTCTGCATTTCCCTTAGTAGTGTGTTTTTTGTAGGTATACGTCTTGGACACGAGGGATTATTATCAGGACCTTATACTTTGAGGGTTCTGCTCGTTTGACTTTAGCATCATAACTTTTGTATCTAGTTGAAGTAATGTATTTTGATAAAGATACAAAGCAGCCTAAATGAACACGGTCTAAATAAAGATGAAGAACTATTTCGAGACAGCTATTTTAAAATAGATCCACTCGAAACGGCTGTCTTCGTTTTACTAAGAATTGTAACTGAAATTAGCATAATTTTCCGCTCAGTAATCGTTTTGCGAAACTCAAGTTTCGGTTGTCACAAAAAACTTTACAAGGAATAGTTTTTTCCTCTTGTCTTTACAATTTACACGGCTCCTATTCTTTAGTTTACGAAATTATGTAGTTTGGAATATTTAGTTCAGTGTCCGTGTGTGCCGGATTAAAGTTGAAATGTATTTTTTATTGATATAGTCTTGGATAAATAATCAATTTATTGCATTGAAAGATGTTTTAAATCAAGGATTATGAGCGTATTTTATGGGGTGGCATAATAATGGCAATTCCTTTGTTAAACTTTTATGAGCAGTTTACGGAGGGTGCCGCCGAAATTGATCGTGATGCCTAAATCCGTGCATGTTTTGATTTCGGTCACGCGTTCGAGTTACTGCTTTCCTGTTTTGTACATTTGGCTTTTGAGAAATTTTGACATCACGATTATAGTTTAGAGTCAATATGCAAATAATTTAACAATATAATACACGTAGTACACGCACATTACAGTTTGCAAGTGCGACAAAATAGATTGTAGAGCCCAGTCAGTCAGAAGCATTTTTTTAAACTCAACTAATTATGTCTAGCCTAGTAATTATGACGGAGATTTATTTAAGAACTGTAACAAAACTAAAAAAAACGTAACTTTCAAAGAAAAAAAAAAACATGCTACGTTTATTGAGAATGTTTGAGAAGTGTGGCATCTGCGTACCATGTGTCAAAATTTGTCTCCCCAAATCTTTTCTTGATGCATGATCGTTGCTTTTTGTTGGAATCATGTGTTTCGAAACCACTTCACATAATGTCATTAGATTTAAAAATAAAATGAAAAAAAGTAAAATGATCTATCTCGTTATTTAGGAAAAAATTGAAGTAGAAGAGTTGTGTCGAAAACATTTTAGCGAATTGACACTTTTTAAATACATTATTTATTTCGTAGGACGTTAATATGAATCTTGTTAAATAGCTACACTCATGTTTGTAAAATAAATAAAAAAAAAGAAATAAGGCTATGACTATTGTTGATTGTTTAATTTGAGAAGTTTAAAGAGCTGTTTGAATTGGCTCAGATGTCAGATTTTAAATCACATCGTCACTTGAGCATTAAAAAAACACAAGCACTCGAAGGAATCCGAGACACATGGGAAGTTTAAAATTCTTCGCAGTTACCCGCATGAGTTTTTGTTTAAAAATCTTGAAGTGTGGTCAATTGCTCAAGTGAGATACGTCGTACGTGCACTGAATGTCAGATGGTGATGTTACAATGTTGTAAAGCTGAATAAATCTTAGTACACTGTGGCATATAAATCGATATATTTTGCAAATTACCAAATTGTCGAGTGTTGTTACACGTTATTATTGAGTAGCTGTTGCTAGCGACTTCGTCTGCGTGAAACTAAAAAGTAATAAAAATCATAGCCTATGTTATAACGTAGCTTTTTAATGGTGAAAGAATTTTTGAAATCAGCCTATTAATTTTTGAGTTATTTCAATACATAAAAAATACAAATCGTTCCAGTTATAACATTAGTACAGATGAATAACCTGAAAATTATTCCCACCTTAAATATTTGCTTTAAACGAGATACATATCTTTGAAATGTAGATCTAAATTGTTCTTTAAATCCAAAATGTCTTTATATCCGAAAAATGAAGCTTTTACTATTTTCTTTGGACAATTTTGTTTTTTTTTTAGTTTTTTTTTAAATTTGAGTCAAGGTACTTGTAAACAATCTTTATTTAGTCAAAATTCAAATGTAACTATCATAATTAAAGTGATAATAGACTCTATGGCGTGGTTTGTTTAAATGAATAAGAGCACGAAGACAATAAAATCCGGTGTCCTGTTCCGATGCACTGGTTCCCTGAAGTTAGGCGACATTCCACTGTCACGGCCAACGTATTTATGTCGCTCTATTATTACTCAGAAATGCAGAACGGCTTGCAGTAACTTTTTATTTATTGCACAACGTACGAGCACTTAATTAAACTTTTGTTCTATTTTCAAATTTAAATCTGTTCCATAATTCGAATTACTCGAAAAAAAGAAAAGATCGAAACACTTTTTTAATCTTTTATTTTTACTCTTTAATCTATGATTTACAAAAAGTACTTAATATAATTCTATGTTGACAGTTGCAATACTGCGAATAGCTAGTGTGTTATAGTAGCTAGTATCGGATTTCTTATATGGAAAGTAGATTACTAGGAAGTGTAATCAGTTGAAGAAACGTTGATAGACTCATCATAACGGGTGCACTTGAGCATGTCATTTGCAACTCACATATTCTCACGACTCTGTATTACTGAGTATGCTGGTCTGATAAAGTTCTAATGAGTGATACAAAGTTTTTTTTGCTTTCTCCCGCGAATCCGTCCGCGTGAAATTAAAAAGTGTGTAGCCTATATTTTCTTCCAGACTATCTTTTACATCTGTACCTTTTAAAGATCATTCAACTGTTAAGGATATAAACTCCAACAAACATCCATCCATCCATCTTAACTTTCGCATTTATAATATGATTTAATAATACTCTTTTAACGTTACTTTTATAGTACCTACGTCAAAAACACAAGAAGGAAGGTAAGGGTGGTATTAAGAGCATCCAAAACCGTCGTACATGTAAGTGAGAAAGATGTGTCAGAATATGGTTAAATGGTCCCTCGTCGTCTCTTCCTACCTTTCTAGATTACGGTGTTATGTTATTGTTGTACCTTCATTACATCTTAAACAGATTACAATAATTTTACTGCTAACATAGTTACACGTGCCTTAGTTTCGCTTAAAGAGTCAACTAAGTTATTCTCGATAATTATAAAGGTAGAATTTCATTTAAAAAAAAAACGATAAATCAAAGATAGTGTCTTAAACGTAATAAGAGCCGTACCCAGTCCCTTACCCCTTTCTAGTAGATATTGGCAAGGTCCATAGTCTTTATGTGGTCACTAGAGTGTCTCTTCATTGCATTTGAAAAAATAAACAGTAATCAATGTTTCGTATAGATTTTTACAGCTCTATAGTTACGTAACACTTCAGTATGTAATTAGGTTGAACATTATCGTGGTGGAAGTAGGCTAGCTGGCTGGTAATGGCCGTCTTATCACTGCAGATAAGGTTATCGCGATCGCTTGTTTTCGTGTAATGAAAGCGACCCGGGGTTGCGTAACATAACTAAATTGTCTGCAAATAGTACATTCATCAATTTTGATATATTGCTATGATATAATTTAGTAATTAATATCAGTATAATTAGTAATCAGTTCATTGAGAAATTATAGAATAAATAAAATTAATTTACTTACATATAAAGTATATTTTAATTGTAAATACATTCTTATTTAAATAACACTACCTGTTCCCGTGCGACTTCATCCGCATAAAATTAAGAAAATTTTATTTTATTGTTTACATGTACCAAATTATCAATTGCAAATGTCAAAGTGACATAACATGATGACAACCTTGTTTCCTTGATGTTGGCAGCTACTTATGGTCTCTTTCCCACATTAGGGTTTTTTATCCAAAATTTTACCCCCTAAGTTTAGTGGCGTTAAAATGTATAGCCTAAAGCGTGTCGTAAGTGTAGGGCTTTTTATTAAAAAAAGAATTATTCAAAAATATGCTGTGATTGCTGACATGTTAGGCAACAAAGAAGTGTGTGTTTACGCTTTATTATAATAGTATAGATAAATTATGCCGTAACACACATAAATTTACAAAGTCCAGAACATTATCACTAACAGCCGCTAGCTTAGCTGTACGATCTGCCAGCTCGTTTCCCTTTACACCATCAGCTGGAACTCATTGCAGCCTCACGTCTGAACCACTATTCAGCAAGGTATAAATAGCATTTAGGACATCATAGGCTATCGTTAGTCCTCTGTAACCAGAGACGTACTTTATAGGATAATCTAATGCGTACTTTTAAAGTAATAAAAGCGTTGCTTACTTCTTTCTCGAGTCTCTATATTTCGCCACGACAATCTGTCTGGGGTTGTTGGGTCAGACAATTGTGTAATCATTTTTATAGTCGCGTATTATAGTTACGAGTTATATCGGTTAATTACAAACGTAGACGCAATCTCTTCGCCGACCGCCGTGTGATACCGTGACCTAATTGAATTAAAGCGAAACACCGGCTGACAGATAACAGACGCCAACCGAAATAACGCTACAGACGTCACGGTTAACAGATAAATGTATCTAGATCTGCTAAAATTAACACCTGTACAAAATAGGGTTGTAACGGAAGACCTCTTCCGAACATGTCTCTGTTTTTGAACAGTTGGATGACAATCTATTTTTATATTTCTGTAGCAGAAGCCTTCGGTTAATATTGTCCGTTAATAAGTAAAAATATTGAATTATGCAATAAGAATAGAGTTGATCTGTCAATCCTTCAGGGGCTATTGTGTCAAAAGAAATCAGAATAAGTGTTATTCCAAGTATTGTCATGAATATCGTCCAGTTAAAAACATTGAAAAACAGCAAGTAATCGTGCAAACCTACGTTCTGCTACCTGATATTGACACTATGGTAATTATTTGTACAAGCAATTCTCGCTTAACGACACGCAATAAGTTAGCTGAGCAGGCGCATGTTTTGTTTGCGCTACTTGTTAGAGCTACTGGGCATCGTTACGTTTCTTCCAAAACTAGCCGTGTTAATGCAATTTTATATTTATTTTTTTCTAACTCAAGGCTATAATAACAAGTAGTATGTGCTTTGGATTGGTACATATTGCTCCCACCTACCCTGAGATATAATCGAGGGTCTTGATTCGATGGCTTAACAAGCTTACAATTAACTTCACATGCCTTAAAAGCAGGTACTAAGTATCTGCCTTTTTTATAGTAGTTAATTTCTTTGCTGTTAGCGACCCGATAACTAGAGAATAATAAAAAATATGAAACAACTTCGTTACAGCGTATTTGTTTCACAAAAGTAAGAAGCGACATCTATAGAGGAAAAAAAGATCTTTTATTTAGATTGTAACTTACAATTTAATATTTCTGTTATAACGTATATTTTTTACGAGATGTCGACTATGTGTAAGCAATTACTGACGCTTTTCACACTAGTCCGCTAACCGCTCGTCGGGCTGTAAAATTGTCACAGCGATGGCTTTCTCGAATTTCAATGTAATTCTCTGTTGCCGACGATGTCTAATTTCGAACTATTGTATGAAGTTCATTTTCGTGTCACGATTTCACGGGCAGTCTTTTAGATCTTTATCTATCCTGCTCTAGTTTCGGATTATCGCTCTGTCCCCATGTGGAGACAAATGAGCATAAAAAGCTTCATCCGTCCCACCCTTTGCGACGAGGGAACGGTTGTAACTTATTTTATTTCGTAACGGTTCCATCTGTCACCTTATTGGTGATAGTGGGACTAAGAGGTGGGATGGATGAAACTTTTTATTCTCACGTGGGGACAGAGCGGGGTGACGGTTAGGTATACTCCCTAGTTTCTATAGAAGCACGGTAAATACTTTGAAAAATAAGTTTGTTTTCTATGCTATGAAATTGTATACTTATCATCGATGGAATATCTTTGTACTTTTTTAAAGATTGTCCAGTATAAAATGTGGTATCGTAGGTGATTTAATTAAATATAATATGCATGCTGTATGTTTAGTTATGTTTTTCTTATTTTATTAGACTTTATTATAAAGAAATAAAGATTAATTTAGCTTAACACAGTCTTATTGTTATTGTAATGTAGCAGTTGAAGTGTTCACTGTGAGTTGGACATCTTAAGTTGTCACTTGTTTTCTTTTACCATCCGTGACTCTCAGCCGGCCGTCGACCCTTGTCATACGTGTGCAGGGTTGCCAACTGAATACAATATAAAAATATTATTTATTTTATTATGTTCTACTACTGAGAGTCTTTCGCTCTTTTCTTTGTAGTTTCAAAGATTACTGATGTAGTTTTATTTTTTGTTCAATAACATAGGGTTATCAATGCTCTTAAAGCCTTAAAAAATCGAATACGCTACATATTAGTTTTAAAACATTATTAATGGAAAAACTAAAGCTAAAAAATTAACAGAAGTTTTAATTGAAATGTTCGAAAATCGCATATAAACAGGTGAACAAAACAAATTTTTAACGCTGTTTTAAAAAAAGTAAATTATTATATTTTACAAACTAGCTACCCTATTAGAAGGTGTAAGTTGGTAGCCGATAGCGAGTGGACGTGAGATGATTCTGTTTGTTTACGGAGCGGGCGGGACTTCCGAGAAGGGGCACACAGCCCGGATTACCTACTTATCGTGCGCGGAACACTAGCTGTTTGCATATGAAGCATTCTGTTTCTAAACAACTAGTTACTTCATTGCTTATCATCCTAAAGATTTAAAATTTAGATGATCGAAATATGGTAATAGATGAATTTGTTCTGATACGAATAGACAGGAACAATTTGCTTGTCTAAAGCACTCTTGAAGGGCTAAATATTGCGCTCTGTTACATTGTCTTAAGTTATCGCGATTCTTGCGAATCCTACGAATTGTATATGATAAATATTAAATCTACATGCCACACTGATGCAGTTAAAGGTGTACATGTGTTGCCAAACTGTTTTTCTTGTCACCTATAGACCGTAAATGATCAAGTTTTACATAGTTTTAAATTTAAAATAGCAGTATGGTATATACAAGTTGTGTGTGACACGTATTTTATTGCATTTTGTTGCAGGTGATGTGGGCTGTTGCCACGTTGCTCGCGGTCTACACGCTGCGGGCTACGGCCATCTCTTGTACGGAGGCGCGCACCCGCTGCGCTTACCGCACCGGCTGTGGCTTCGCTCTCAACAACTACATGTATCTATGTGGTGATGTACTCTCGGAGCCGACCAGCGTCTGCCCCAAGCCCTGCGAACACGCGCTCATTGCTCTAACAACAGCTGAAGAGGGCAAGGAGCTTATGAACGTAAGTAATACACTATTAACGAATTTAAAAAAAATTAACAACAGTGTAAAAGGCTATGATACTCTGGGGAAGTAGACTAATCGAATAAAACTGCACTCGTCAGAATCAGTTCAGTCATTGAGGATAAATGCGGGCGCAGTACACACATCCTACAAACACGCAAACATAAAAGCACAATTTCAATAAAGCAATGTTATCGTGAGTATCTAATAATCATAATTAGCAAATACATGCGATTTCTGCAAACAAACATAAAAATAAAAATCTAATAGGATTAAGCTATTAGAGTCAAGGCTACATCTTGTTTCTAAGCACACAATAATCGATGTGAATATAAATTCATACAATCGTATTCTCACAAGCTGGAACAATCAAAGGTCATGCTTGTCACAATAAATTTTCACGACCACTTGTTTATGAGTGCATCCTTTTCAATTGAGATGCATGTCCAGTTTTATTGGAGCTTTTTTGTCAACATTTTCCCATACTAGTGGATACGATAAAGGGTGTCGCGATACGATGGTATGTCGTAGTACGCAGACGCTGTGTAATAAAATCTAATTTAGACGTCAGATTTGTCGGACGCGATGCAACGCCATCAAGGGTCTCGGTTGATGACCCCGTTAGCTGTCCCTCATACAATTCTCACGAGTTAATTTGACTAAACTCTTTGATAGGATAAATTGAAATGTCAAGTCGTTCACGTAATAAAAAGTTACTCCCTTTAAGTAACAAAAGTGCTTTCACTATTACTAGACAAAAACATATCGTTATCTCTGTTATGCACTTTCAAAACAACAGAGATGCTGTATTTTTGTACGTGTTTTGGCAGTAGAAACTCCGGTGTACTTGTAATAATCGCAGTTGAATCAACAAAACAAATGAACGTACAATTCGGACCTCCCTTGGAGCATTGCTGCAGCTGTTTTCTGAATTTGGTATCCACGAGACTGCTTATTAATATCCCATATACTAGTAAATTGTACGAAAGATGTTAACTTAAAGTAGTAAAACCAGTAATCATTCTACTTATTCAAGTAAGCACTTATAGAATTTTCAATCCATTTGTGTGAAATAGTAGTAAAACTCGTATTTATCAACAGAACCTAATAACAACTATGATAATATAATTATAAAAGTTTTGGTGTATGGATGGATGTTTGTTGTAATTTGTAGCCTGAACGACTGAACAGATTTCAATGAAATTTTTCATAGATGTAGAGTATAATCAGAGAAAACACATGGCTATTAAACTTTTGTTTTTAATTCCACGCGAAAACTGTAATAGTTTAGTAATTGTTAAAATTTAATTTTTTTATCTTCAAAAACTTAACTTTAATAATTTGAATCAGCCATTGCAGTTACATAATACAATACAATTCTTTAGATAATTCAGTTTGGGTGCGGTCAAGCGTCTAATTATGCCGTTGTAACGGTGTGATTATTGTGGCTCTGTGGTCGGGTACGGTGTAACGAAAGGCCGGTAACTCAGCCTTGAGGTTTGACGTCTTGATCGGGACCTACCGCAGTGCTCGCCCGAGCAGGTGTCGCGGTTTCCACAAAAAATACGTAAGAGACAAGCTCAGAACGCTCTGCCCTCTTTATTTTCTTATCGAGTAAGACCTAGATATTATACGCAGGGAGTAAATTGCTTTTAAAAACTAGTCTCACTAGTAATTATAAAGTTTTTCTTCAATAGCTTACTGCTTGTTTTATGTTTTAAAAGATCAGTAATCCATTTTAGTCTACTGTTGCTAAAAATATTACAAAAATATATAGCTTAGGTTAGTAGTTATTTGAACAAAGAAAGGTTGAAATTGATTGAATATTTTGGTAACTAGTTTAATAATAATTAATTTTATTACTTAATTTTCGGTTTCATTCAAAAGTTTGACTAATAACATATTGAAAAAAAAATAATTAACTTATCTATTCTGAACTTATCCCATTTGGATTGTTTATTTGTACTAAAACTGTTATAATTGACGCATATAAAATACGTGAACTTAATTCCAGAGATATCCAAACGTGATTTTATTATACATAATTTGTTTTGATAGCGGCCGGAATGTTTCTGGAGCCGTAAAATAGTTTTACGAACAAGAAACTATATAACACGCCACGCTCGCACCGGATTTATAGTTTTTCCCCCAAAAGTTTATAATAATGTAGGATGTAAAATTTTTTGATAAAGTTGTGTGTGTGCTAGCATTTAACAACATTTTTAAAATAGTGCCCATATTCGTGAACATTAAATATTCAAAATGTATGGCACGCAATAAAAAAAATTGTGCATTTATAAAGATCTACTTGTCTCATGGACACGTTATTCATAAGTTATCCTTTTTAGGTTTCTTTATGATGAGGGTTAGAATGTCTGCGAAATTTTAACAAGGAATACATTTCAGGTTCACACAATAATGCTCTTTGCAAGATTGTAACAGTATTGCCAACTAAATAGAATAAATTAATTTAATTGACTAACTAAATATTATTAAACTAGTTTTCGTGTTTCATTCCAAAATGAACTTGGTACGTATCTTATGTGTGATTCCACACTATGTTCTATATCTGTGCCAAATTTCATCGAGATCCGTTCAGTAGTTTAGGCTGCAAACTGTAACAAACATCCATCCATCTAAACTTTTGCATTTATAACACCGGTAAAACGTAATAAGTAAGATTATCCTTATTAAAGAACTCTATCAAATACGAAAAAAATCGTATCAATAGATAAAGTAATAATATTTTGTTTGTTACAGTGTCAATGTGAGGATGAATATTGTGAAGAAGCCAAGCAGAGGATTGAAGTGTGCCGGTCTCAGGTGGTGAAGGGCGCGGCAAACGCGACATCCTCCTGCCGACTCTCGCAGATGATCTGCCTCGCCGACGCACAATGCTCCACTGCGCTTAGCTACTACCGACAACTCTGCCGCTCCATGTACCGCGGCAGGAAATGCTCCAACCGATGCCTCAATTCAATCAAAATACTAAAAAAGCAAGAGAAAGCGGCAGCACTAACCGAATGCAGATGCGACGGCGATGAGGACTTTGATTGTCCGAGAATGCAGAGTAATCTCGCCAGATTATGCTTTCACAAACATCAAAAGAACCACACCAGTACACATAAGAAAGCATCTCACGAAATGTATCCATCAATAGCTACTTCTATACAATTCTCGACCTTCTTAGTGCTCATTTGTTTGTTCTATTGTTTTAGCAACGCGTGATCGATTCTAACAAGGTCTACCTCATTCTAGTTTATAAAGACAATCCATCAAAGTACAACGTATTTTGTAAAAATGTACAGATCAGTATTGTAAGTTAAATTATGCGTAGTTATATTTAAGCGAGGAACAACAAGGGCGTGTAAATGGATTGAGTGTGCGAGTTGTTTGTTTTGAGTGGCAAAGTTTTTTCCAATACGAGAATATTCTGTTTGTTTATGAAGTTTTACGAGGTAGTCAATCAAAAGTTTGTCAACGGCAGAATTTACATTTATACTATCACATAAACTGTGTGAAATAAAAAAGCATTAATCAATTCTTGGTAGAGTTAACATATACAATTGAGTATCTAATCTGTCTATATGTACATAATTACGTCGGCATTTAAAACATTTGTGCCGGGTCTAGTCTAAGTGTCACAGTCTGGGATGGCGATAATGAGAACTCTACGTTATGCGCGTGGCGACACGTGGGCGAATATGTATGTATGTCTAAATGCGTGCGCGTTAATACAGATATCGAGATAGAGCGGTGCTGCAGCCGCCCACGGGCCCACGGGCGCGCTATAAATATGGCCGCGCCGGTGGTCCGGTGACAAATGTTGAATTGGTCGCCTGGCGTTACGGCGCCTAGCTTATTAATTCATCTAGATTCTTCCGAAAATCCACGGTAAACTGTATGTAGACATAATTCCATCCCTCTTTTTTTTTTCTTCAAAATACTATGTAAAACGAAACGACATACACAAGTGTCTTAGAACTGAAACTAGAGTATTACTCGTTACTTTCTTAACTTGCACGGATTTTTACATTGCTAAATTTCAAGCATTTTGTCAATCATCCTATTCTATCATTTTAAAATGTTTTTATATTCCATCTTACACTTTTAAAGCTAGAAATAGAGCACAAAAATCAAGAATCGTCTGACGGAACACATAACAGTGTCTGTGGTTAAGGAAGTGTCTGTCCCGTGGCTAATTCCGGTGAGCGCGACACTAATCGTCGCTCAGATGTTGGACGCGCGCGGGATTCCGCTGTCACTGTGACATTTCTTATCTTTTTTATAACATCCTTTTTTTCGAAACGCTTTTCCGGCCACTCATTAGTGCATTTTTAAATAGAAATATACTCCAATTAAGAATATAACAGGCTAGACACGGAAGAATATTGTTAAACAAGATTAATTTGTTAGGCAATATTGTTAATATTAAATGAGCATTATGTTTTATAATGTTCCGTTACCTTGTTGCTATTTCTAAGTCTTTGATAATGTAGGTAATTTTTCCATAATTTTTAATGTTCTAAAATTAACGAACTTTAAAACTTTCATACTCTAAGACAATTTTAAATTATTATTCCATGGAAATCTTTAATTAAATTTAAAAACTGATCCAATTTAAGTACGTAGTGACTCAAGGTTTCTATACAACCCCGAGGCCGTAATAAAGAGCAAAGAACCGGTTCTCTACGAAAGGGCTCGTACTCCAGCGGCGAGTAACTCTATCCACAGACAAAAACGAAAACACAATCTAACTGTTTTCGAACGGATAATTAATTTTTGTCAATATTGAATGACGGTTTGTTTTTTCATCTTGTATAACGTTTGTTATACAACTTTGAACCAGTTACGTATACAAACAAAATGTTTGAAACCGTTACTCCATTCTCGTAACTGTACAAAAATAGCGTTACCTTTGTTTTTTTTTTATGGATGATGAGAGGGATGGCGTTATGTTTTAGTACAGGATATAATTGCTTATTTGATTTGTACTCTGAGAGAATTCAGGACCTATTTCATAGACCTCTTATTAATATAAATCATAAATAGTTTAAGTGCCACAAGCAATGTTTTAGACCTGCCAAGATTGTAGCGAAAATTTGCTTCGTACTAATATTATAAGTTTGGACGATTGAATGGATGTTTGTCATAGGTATCTCCAGAATAGCTGTAGAAAATCACACATCAGCTACTTTTTTTTAAATTCTGACTGGATGAAGTCGCTGGCGACTTTTACAGATTTACGAATAAACGCGGTATAAAGTTAATTTTAGGAATAAACTGAGTATAAGCAAATATTAGTACAAATTTTGCTTTTGTTTGTATAGTGTATAAAATATTCTTAATTATTTTAGACTGGAAATATATAGTCAATACAAAATACCAGACATAGTTAAAGACAACGTATCAACAATCCACGTCTGCATTACAATCGATATCAATATAGAATGCATTCGGTATGCGTCTCACAAACAATTGCCTACTAATGTTTCGTCGCCTGAATCATGTCTCGATACATAATGCAAACTTGATAACGTAGTGAATAAGAATGAAGGCATTCCTTGCTATTTATTCGTTTTCTCTTATCTTGTGACAGTTGATTTTCGCTGCAGCATAATGGATTGTATTTTTATTGCTATTGTCATGCGCGACTCCATCAGCGTGGAATTAAAAAAACATAAGCCTATGTGTTCTTCCAGAGTATCCTCTACATTCATCATCTTCATCACCAGCTCACTATTCGTCCTTACCGAGGGGCTCGGAGCCTTCCCTAAAGTATCCTCTACGTCTATGCCAAATTTTACTGAGATCCGTTCAGTCGTTTAGGCTACAAACTCTAACAAACATCCATCCATCCATCTAAACTTTCGCATGTATAATATTAGTAAGATTCTCAATGCTTGTTGACAGTTGTTAATTTCTAAGGTGGTTTATTGAATTTTAACTGGTAATCTTTAATCTTACTTATTACTTTGTTACGTTACGTTTGTTAGAGTATGTAGCCTGAACGACTGCAAGGATCTTAATGAAATTTAACATAGACGTAGAGCATAGTCTGGAAGAACATATCGACGGGTGAAAGGCTTTTTGTTTCCGCCATTTTAGGCGATATTGACTTATATTTATATATTCAGAATCAGCGAATTTTTCTGCGTCGTTGATAAAGAATGAAGAATGCAGAATTATAGTAATTTTAATCTAGAGTCGGTCTGAAAATCTTTCAATTAAATTATTTTCAGGATTAGCTTTTATGTCTTTTTTTTTCTAAAAATGAAAAAAATTGACCTAATGGCGCTTATAACAAATAGCCCATCGATATAGGCTTCCATTTTTGTTTTTTGATATACGCGGACGGAGTTGCGTACGAAAGTTAGTTATCAAATAAGGCAATAATAAATTGTTTTGGTGTTCACGTTTCTGTGGTTAAAACCTTAGATCATTTGCATAGTTGCTATCATTTAAAAGCTATTTAATTCGTTTATTATATTATATAACTGGGGAACCAACATTAATTTTGTTAATTGTGTTATTTCAGAAGTTATACTAAATCAAATATATACCCGAAATTTAGTGACGCAATTGTCTGAATAGTCTAATCTTGCATCTTCATATTAGTTTATTGAAGTTTATATTGCCCCTGAACCGTCTGATTGAAGAATTGATTTCATTTTCCAGTCATGTGACTTTTGATAAAAAAATACAGTTGTTGACTACCTCTTTAACTTCTTATTAGTTTGATTGTGTGTGTATCTGTGGTATTTTGTGTGTTGTGTCAAATGTTTTGTTTTTAGGTTATGTTAGAATGAGTGCCTTTTAGGATAATTTAGCTTTAAGAAATGTTAAGGAATATTAGATAAGTTATGATTAATTTAAGACAGCTAAGATATGTGTAATTCATTAACCACAGTTTACCAAAGTGAGATTATTAGTGTTAATTGATTCTTGTACAAAATAATTAAGATTATATTATTTGTATTTTTTATATTCATAAGAAAATTCGTACAAAGTATTTTAAATTAAAAAAAAAAATAATTTATTGATTAGGTTTTAATGTTTAGTATTTAAAAATAAAAGTTGTTGCATTTGTTTCGTTTTTGTGAAATCTTTTTAAGGATTCTAGTTGTATTTATTTGGAAGAGAAAAATTAAAAATAAAACTTTCTGTTTTCTACATTTTTGTTTTATTTAAATCTGCACTTGAAATTTGAGCAAATAAACTTAAATATTATATATATATAACTAGTGAATGAATACATTCACTTCATTCTAAAATCTTAAATGCGAAATTTTGGTTCAATATTTGTTACTATCCAAAACTGCTTAACGGATATCAATGAAATTTAGACACAGAATGAAAAACACATAAACGACAAATGTTTTTCTAAAACCCGGCGGAAGAATTCGCGGGAAAAAGCTAGTCTTCTATAAAAAAAGGAGTGGATATACAAGAGAAAAGTAAAAACGCATATTACCCTCATGCCATTCTGGCCCGTTACTCAAAATTGATACATTCATAGTTTGAGCTGTAAAAGGGGATGGGGGATAGTGCATATATTTATATGCTTAATAGTTTTACATCCATACTTGTATAGTTAATGACGCAAAGCTATGTGTGGCGCGGGGGACAGGGCCGTGTAATTGGGACCACCCACGGCGCCCTGCCACGGCACGGCCTCTCGTAGAAAAACGATTCATCTACATGCGAAATCACTGCATAACATATGTATCAAGAAACGAATTGAAAATGATATCATCTTGGCAGTCATCCTACTCCTGAACTCTTTATTGATAAATTTTGAAGAGAACCAATGAGACTCGAATGATAACTAAGAGCGAGCGCATATCTTTGTCTAAACTATCGCACTGTTTAGTCGCGCTTTAATTCCTATTAGTTTATATGGAGGTGCGCACACTACTTGATTTTTAATTGTGCAACTAAACAGTTGAATTGGCTGCGAAACAATCGACAATCGCACAACAGATGAGCGAGTGTTTAGTCAAAGGCCTCGTTCATAATCTCCTTCAAAATAGGTTCATCCGCTTATAATAGAAATTATAATGAAATTTTAGTTTTACTACTATTCTCACGACGAAAGTCACTACTACTAACTTCTGACGCCAATCAATACTTTAGTTGAACTAAACATAGTTAATGAGTGCCTATTCAATTACTTAAAGTCTAACCGTAATAAAATTGAACAGGAATGGCTACTTAATAACAATTTTTTCACACGACAATCTCAAGAACGGATGTCGCCTGTCAGGATATTCCTTATTGAGGTTATTTGCCAAATGATGAGTACCACTACACTTAAAGTACTCTAGAAAATTGCTGACCCGAGTTAAGAGACGGCAATCGATGGCGAGTACGTGATCATTTTGGCGACGCCGCGCCCTCGCCGTGGGAAAGGATGCGCGGGTAATGTCACTCACAACCATGGTGGTATTACTAGGCAAAAAATTTAAAGTACTCGTGTGAAAGTTTAGAATAAGCGTGGTAAATAGGTAGAGTTTTCATACTGGATTGA